TTTTTACGCCCAAAAATTGCGATTCGTCAATTCGTCTTTAGACACTTTGTCCACACTAATGAAACGAACCTGAGATAGGGCCTAAAGTATCTGTGGTAAAAATTTGAGCTCGATCGGACCATTTTTTCGAGAGGTCGTAATGTTACTGGATGAAAACCAGCGTTTTCTAGAAAATCCATAGAAGAACACGTCAGAAAATTCTGGGCAAAAATACATCGATTTTCTTTTTCGATGTTCTATCTCTGCTATAAATTTGAGCTCAATCGGACATGTACTCCGCATTTGGCAACAAGGTGAAAAAAGAGGGGGGGTGTACCCTTAAGCTAATCTCACGTTAAAACGAATTTTTAAAAAATATAGGTGACTGACTGGGCGACTGCTTTTTCGCTACAGAAAACCGAAAGTCTTGGAAACATGAACTAACTAACTGACTAATACAGAAGAGGCTAGAAAAGGATACTTACATAACTGCTTGCACCGAACAAAGCTATAACATAACTGATTACATCATAAGCATTTATTATTGTTGGATGTATTGATTTTTCTGCGCTTGTGTATTTTAACGGTGGTACATCAGGTTCGATTTTAAACTTAGATCCCCAATAGGCCTACAAAAATTAGAAGCATTGACTGTGTATCTAGAGAGCCTCGCTTTGCTATTACAAGTTTTCCTACCCAATAACAATCTCCATCTAAATCCGACCCACCACATTCATTGAAATGTGGTCTTGTGCCGACGACAGGAAAAACAATAACATTGGTTTGACAATATAATTCTGGTAGATCAACAGCTTCCAACACAATCATATCACCAGCATATGGACATGGATTTTTTGTTATGATCACTTTACCTAGAGATTCAATAGAAAGGCCGTTGTTTTCCGAGAACGACGATTGCGTTCCATTGAACGATATTTTCGACTAAGACTGAACACTTAGAGTCATATAAACCGTAGAAATTTTCCTAAAGGTAACGTACAGTGATCGTGAGCCACCCAGAGAGATGGATAAAAATTGCACAAGGAGTTATTTCGAATGAATTTAAGGGAGAGCCCCGTCATCCGTTCTTTTCTCAGTTTGTAGAGCACACTTTGAAGTGTATATCCTATCAGTTTTTCGGTTTCTGGACTTGTAGTTTTAGCGAAAGCCATTTCAAGTTTTTTTCTCGGTTTTTTGTCTAATTTTTAAAATTTAAGCAAAGATTTCAAGTTGAAAACTCGATTTTGATATCATTCGGTAGCTTTTCAGAAACTAACTACCTCTACAAACTGACAAAGTTTGAACGAAATCTACACGGGGAAACCTCTCGTTAATTATCTGATTTTATACCGAAAAGTTTTCTAAAAAATAATCAGTGCTTTTGAACAATAACCGCACGAGGCGTATGAAGATGACTTTTTTAAATCTGATATTAATGTTTGGTTGGATCTTTCTAGCAAGTTCGAATCAACATGTTAACCCAACAACAGAATAGTGTTACAAATAGGCGAAAACTTGATCTCAATTGGCCGATTTAGTTGGAGTTTCGCACCAAAAACAATTAAACCTATACTTTTTAAAAATTGATAATTCCTAGTACAATGTCAAGCGCAAAAGAGAATATCAGAAGAAAATTGGCATTTTCCAAGGAAAATTCGAAATGACCGATCGACATAGAGCCTCAAAAACAACTACATAAATTCGCATAAGAGAAACTAACAAAAGTGAACCATAGATTTTCACTCAAAACAAAGAACATAGTATGGTATTAAGTAAAATACCTGTAACACATCTGAATTCATTTGTTGGTTGTCCTTTATCAAGTATTTCATAACGTATAAAACACTGGTTTGGTTTCAATGGCGAATCCAACGAACATCCAAACATGTAGCGACACTCATTTTCTGGTAATGGATACTTATTTTTCTTTATATCATCCAAACTGCAACACACAAAAAGAAAATCACATCATAGAAGTTTTTCTAATATTCATTATTCACCTCATTATCTGATATTCTTCATTACTCGATGCTTGAAGTCGTTGGAAATATTGCTGTTGAATGTCGAAAAATGTATCATCGGGTACCCCGAGATCGGACAGCAAAATAATAATCTGATTATTTAAACTCGTAGGAACTAATGGAAAAAAAGTGAACAATAAATGATAATAGAATCTGATGTTTAGCAGTAAGCACCTACCTGGTGCACTGAAACCGTTCTCACAAATATCCAGTGTCCCATCATCTGAATCTACTTTATACATTGACTTTCGAACTTTAATGTAAAATTCATTCAGAGTTGACTGTGGATCAATAATAACAAGTCCTTTACAGCCGGCTATACGAATTTGATAGGCTGATGGAGCCGAGGAACTCTAAAACAATATCTAATTTAATAACCAAAGTAGAAAGACAAGGGTATCATACTTTTTTTTCAAATAAGTTCTTGGATTCAATTAGCTGTGCCAATCCTCTCGAAATAAGTCCATTACCGTCAGTAAAATTATAAGTATCGTGTATGATATCGTCAATCAATGTCACACAATGTTTCGATTGTTTCACTCGAGTATTGAATTCATCTGGATCTGGATAAAATTCAAGTTTAATCTAAACAAACAGGTAAAGTTATAAATTCAAACTAATAGATTTGCTCGAAAATCGCCATAGGCAGACGTTTTCAAGACTTTGAGCAACTTGATTTAAGATTTTTATCGCTAAAAGCAACAGAAATTAATCTGAGATATCTGAACTATATAATGATGAAAAGATTATGTTGATCGAAGCAGAGCTCGAGGAGACAAAAATTGTTTCCGAAAAGTACATGTCCAGTGTAATGAGTAGCCAGCGGGCATCGTCCATCCAATCGGTCTCAAAGTTTTGTCAAATATTCTTCTACGTGGCTTACATTCATGATGTTAAAAGAAAATAGCGCCGAAAGATTTACAAAAACCTTCACTTTGTTTTTCATGCTTAGAAGTATTTTAGCAGAAAATCGAGGCGACAGTCCTCGTTGAGCTGCATTGAATCGTCCATGGAATAAATTTTTCTAATAGAAAAAGTTTCCAGAAAGCTAACGGTTAGTACATTGTGAGCCCACGGGCCATCAACTATTTAATTAGTCTTGAATTTTTATCAGATACTCTTCTATGTCGGGAACATCAATGATATCAAAAGAAAAAGCAGAGCCATTTCTAAACAGTTCCAGAGGATTCCCAAAAATCTTGGTTTGGAAAGATAAAATATATTTTTCTCCATGAATAAAGCATTTTAAACAAAACCATGATGATATTTGACATTAGGAAAAATTTTCACCCTTTGTATCTTCGAGATATTTTTCAATCAATTTTAGGTTATTCAGTAGGTTAGTACATTTAAAAACAATAAATATCTGTAGCAAAAAAGTGCTTTTTAAGATTATTTTTTCATAGGTTTGAAAAAATTAAAAACGAGTTTTCCAGACTCTTTATAGCAAAAAAAATGACTTTTTTGCACTTGTATTCCATAAGCGTACGCATATGCCGCACATGGTCAATGGATCCACCATGATCGATAAACTGTAACAAACAAATTATTTAACGCTCAAACAGTTTTTAAGTAAAACGCATTTAACAGAATCAAAACTTATTTTGCGTTTTTCTAAAGACTCGTTATCAGCTTCAGGGCTTTCGCCACGCAAAAGAATTCTCGGTAAAGATATTACATCGGAGAAAGAAAATTTGTTTTTGATTTGTAGATAGCATCTGTAGCTAAGACTTGACAGACTCCGATTTTTAAATCATGGTTCTATTTTTTATAAAAATGAGGATTTCTAAGAAGCCTTCCAAGGATTTGTCGGATTTTAAAGTTCTATTAAGTACCAGAAATCAGTAAATGAGAAATTCAACAATTGAGCTCTGTCAACCAGTAGACATATGTGTTTACCTGCAAACAAAAATAGCGCGAACTCTCTGTTATTCACCTGGAATGAGAATTCTTGTGCGTGGTAGATGCCTGCTTTTGGCCCTTGTTATAGCACCCTCTCACGATGAGTTGCAAGTGATGCCGAAAAAAGAATTTTGCTACCACACTTTGACATGGTCAACATTCTCTGAAAGTTTGGTGCAGATCAGACCCACCTCGGCTGAGATAGGTTTCTGACCCGGGAGGAAGAAGGAGCTCTTAACGAAAAAATGTCATATCCATCTCACACGCCCAAAAATGTTTTTGATGGATCAACTATGAAATAAAAAATCGGCTAACTTCTGGAAAGAAAATGCCGAAAGTTCTCTACTTTTGATTATAAAATTAATTTTTTTTTCCAGATTCAAAATTAAAAAGAACTTACTTCAGTCGGTTTTGTTTTCGTAAACCACAGTCCAACTCTTGATACATACGTTCCTAAATTGGTAATTTTCTGAAACTCAGCCAATCGTTGAAGTAATAGAGCGATGTCATCATTTGATTGACATTGATAAAACCAAAATGATTTGTCTTTAATTTGACTATTCGATGCACCAATAAGAAAATATTTTTTCAAACATAAATCAATACCACGTTTTAATATATGGTCACGGTAATAGGATTTTAAATTTTCACTATCATTCAAATATTTTTCAACTTGTTCATCTTTAAAATCAACAATAATAAAATTTTCTTTACCACCAAAATCTTTACGACGTAGAATACGATGACCCATAATAGTTTCCATTGGAAGAACAAGAATACGCATTGGTGTAACACAAAGATGGCCAACTTGATAATAGATCGGTTCTTGTTGTTGTTGTTGTTGTTGATCGTTGTCCAACAACAATTCATTCTGTATTTCTTTAAATTTTTCTTCATTAAATATTTTTGTTAGATCCAAACAATGATCCTGTTTTAACTCTTTATATGCATTTAAAGTCAATTGATAAAACGTATTATCACATCGGCTGGTTAGGTCGTTCATTGATTGTTGTAACTTTGTTGAAAAATTATATTTATCTTCAAAAATAAAACCCAATGAATATAACATTTCCATTGAATACAGCGATTTATGGGATGATGAACATAATTCAAATGATGTATTTCTTTTATGTAAAATAGTTGTAATTCTTTCACATTTTTTTTCTTCTCCAAAATAATTTTTAAATATTTGACATTCAGATTTGTTGGCGAATACTAACATAACATCATTACAACGTGCCAACTGAGAGCAAAATTCTTTGTCGCCATACAATCTGAAAACAAAACTTCTCAAACTTATAATACTTCATAAGATAATACTTCCATTAAGAACAGGAAAAGAAAAAGAAGAATACCCCGCCTTGCCGCTACCGTTGCCCGTGTAGGGTGCTGCCGTGGCAGTTTCAGTAGCCCGATATCTTCCCTGCAATTGACAAGCTTCTGAATGATCACCCATCTTGTTACTAATCATCAGTTGCAGCTCTGATCAGTAGGCTAGCAGAGTCGTGACACGACATTACCGCGAATACAAAAAACGACATTACCGTGAATACAAAAAACGACATTACAGTGAACGATGTTACCGCGAAGACTCGTTTATTGGAAAAGAAGAATAAATGAGCCTGGTTTTGTACTTTGTATATCATGTCGAGGG